GAGTGGGCTACCACGAACGGCGACCTACCCTCATCCGACACGTTTGGACTACCTTTCTTTTTCAGTGTAACTCTTTGCCACAACCACAGCAAAAAAAGCACAACCTTTTTAAAACACTACGTTTTGCCCTCCCATACTATATAGCGACCTCTGACCTTGCAGCTGGCTTCTCCCTTCCTGTTTCCTGCTAGCTGTGATAAAGAAGTGCAGCTAGCCAGCCAGCACTGCAGTGCGCTAACACAACACAGCCAGTGCAGGTCAGGCTTAGAGGAACAGAGCCTGTCTGGACTGGTAGCTGCAATATCATCATGCAGCTAGAGTCGCTGTATCTGCTCAATAATAAAGCACAAATCCAGATCCAACAAGAAGGGAGGAGGAGCTTTTTATAGTAAAATTTTACATGAAAAAAACCCCCACACAAATCTGAGATAAAAAGAAATGTATTGTTATAAATTAACTTCAAATATATCAGTAAAGTGACAGCAATACAGCTCCTCTCAAGAGCAGAAATATGAAGTCGAGCATGTGTCGTGTTTGTCAGAGCAAACACAAACCAAGTCTGGAGGCTTTTAAAAAGATGTTTTATGTTTTGAGTTAATAGAGCAAAAGAAAACACTGACAAGCAGCTGTGAGGAATTTTACAAGACTTAAAACAGTACACATTTCCACATTCGCTCTGGTGAGTCAAACCATCAGGAATCACCAGCTTTACAGATCATCAGCGTTTGATCAACAGGGCGACTAACTGATGAAATAGAATAGCAGTCAATCACCTGCTGAAGAGGAACTTTAAAATACTGTTGGTGGGGGTCTGTGAGAAAGAAAAACACCTTAGTTTGCTCCATTTGCTTTCACAAATTTTTAGACGAGGCCAAACAATGCCATGCAATTGTAATGGACTGCTTTAGGGGCGGGACTGTCCTGATTGAGAGTGAAAAGAGAAAGCCAGAAGAAGAAAGTCTGTCTTAGCATTTGGTTAAAACATTCACTTCTTCACCTTCCTTTTAACAACAAACAGTTTGTACAACATTGTTGCATCAGTCCTCTAAATCCTCATGCAATGGTTCTCTAATCATTTTAAACACCTCATTGGGTTTGTGGGTATACTCAGAGATTATGTCGTTTTATTCTTTATTTTTCCTCTCATCTTCTTCCCGTTCTACTTAAATGTAACCGTTCTTAGATCACACCCTCTCTTCCTGTTTTTGGATGAACCATGACAGGACAGACAGCAGGATATAGTTTAGGTTATGCGTGAAAGCACTGTCAGAGGTAAAACACCATCCCAAAAAAAATAAACTGGAGCTGCATTTATTAATGCAATGTTAATATTGCATATTGCAATTACAATTTCATGGAAGAATTGGTTAACCGTTATATTTAATGCTACTTTTGTGCCCATATACGGAATTAAGGGAATAAGAATTTATGAGATGGTAGTTTATGTATGCATCTTGATGTAAGAATTGAAAAATTAAAAACTATTTTAAGTACTCCAAAACTAAAAATATTGAATTTCTTTAGCTTACCATTTGGAAACAAGCCAATACCAGGCCTGCAGCAATTCAATTAAGGATTTTGACCAGCTTTGAATATTTGTACATCCATGGAGCCAAATGCATTTAAATGTTGATTTACTTTTTGTTTTTTTTAACCTAGCTCTTCTTTTCTCTCTACTTGCTCATCTACCATATTATTAATCACAACTTAACCAAAAAAAGCCAAAGCCCAATAAGTCTCTGACAGAGCTTTAAAATGCTGGGAGCGCTGTTATTAAATACTTTATTAAAGAGTTGCTTTAAAGGAAAAATAATTAATACAAACACAAACCAATTCTCCAGGTTGTACTGCAAAGAGGGTAATCTCAAGCAAAACATAATGATCTCACTCAAATGGCTGCAGACAAAAGGATGGCCTTCAATTTTTTGTTCTAAACATTGCCTTGACATCTAAAAACAGGTGATTGCTGTTTCTACTTTCTTTTTCAATGAAAACAAAAATATAAATTTCCGCTATGCTGATGGAATTCTGGGTAATGTCCACTGTTAGGACTTAACTATTTAAAAACAGACTTGAAAGCTGCTTTTTCTTTGTCCATCACATACATTTCTAAAAAAAAAAGTACATCAAAGTTTACGGATGCGATTAGAGACCAAGTAAGGAGTTTTAGGGCTGATGACGATACAATACTGATCCTCGATATAGGCTGCAGATATCAGCCAACCAATGTATGGATCTAATTGCAATGTGAAGAGAAATGCAGAAAAGGCTCAAAGGGTAGTAATACTCATAAGACATTGTGTAGTGCAACAATCTTAATGTGTTTTAAATCTTCATTCTTTCCCATCCTCAGAACCACAAATTACAGGACTAATGTGAGAAAATCATCCTAAGAGATTTTAATTCAAAACATGACAGCTAGATTTTACCTTGATCCTCCATCTTGGCTTATCGAACACTATATCTGAACTCACTTATCTCTAAACACCACACACTGCTTGTTCAAAGCAGAGCTGATAGTCAGTTGTGTCATCCTAATCACCATAATCTAATAGTGCGAGGATGAAACGAGTTGGCTACTTAAGATTCTACTGTGACATAAATAACCAAGAGGTTTGCCTGGGTGCGTGTCTATGTTTGTGCAGGTCTAAAAAACATACCTGCGCATAAAGCCGTGAGGAGGCAAGTTTAAAAAGAAGTTGAAATATTCTGTTACTTAAATGTGAACCGCTTCTTCTGTTCCAGGTAAAGCAGCATTTTACGTATTAGACCAACCACTAAAAGATTACATACAAACATATACAGATGTACATGCTCACACCTGATTAGAATAAATAGCTAAACTTAGAGTAGCTGTTAGCAGTGTAATAAAAGATAGCTGAATAAATAAATAAAAACCGCTGAAGATTTAAAACTTATAAAAACCCTAAACTCAGCTAAAGATTTGTTTTAGCTAAATAATGAATAATACAATGAATTATAACAGCTGAAAAAAGACCTGTTAAATTTCTTCATAATTAAAAAGGTGTATATGGGGGTAAAAAAGGCTAAATGTATGCCAACAGCTGGATGGATGAATAACAATTATGCAAACATTTGCATTGAAATTAATTTAATCCGTTACATTTCTCAATGATTTCAGCCAATGTTGCAAATGCAAAGATTGCCTACATTGCAAGTGCATTTATGATAAGATGGGTTCCACAGATAGTCAAAGTGTCAGCCTGTCCATTCAGACCTTTGTTCCACATGGGTGTCAACAACGCAAAAAATAGGAAGTCATAATTTAGAACAAAGGTCCTTGCCTAAACGAAAACGGCAATACAAGAAAAATAACATGATAACATGTGAAAGTAAGAACAAAACCCCAAGGATTTGGTCTTTGTTCAATCTTTGAATGTCTTCATTTGCCTGGAAATCACTTCAAGAGCAAGTTTTGAAGCTCACTTTAAAAATAAAAGGTCTAAGATATAAAATTACAGACAGCCAAAAGAGCAGCAGGTAAGTGTGTATTTTCAATAGATTCAACAACACTAAGTCTCATGCAAACCATGCAAAACACCCATGTGCATCACATGAATGAATGGAAAGAAAAAAAAACTCAAAAACTTGGGGAAAAAGTTGCATAAAAACACAAACAAAATAAACAGCATTAGTTGTGGTTGGAAAAACTTCCCAGGAAATTTTCTCTCTCTGAAGCTGCTACTTAACACCACAGAACAACAGACTACATTTCAGATAAGAATGAAGAATTGGGTCCAAATTATCACTGAACGAAAAGCTTGACAATGGTCCGGCTGCAGGGAAGGCTGGATGACTAAAAACTTGTTCCTGCTGAACATTGTAATAATATCACATAGGTATTTGTGGAATGCACTTTCCTATTGTGTGAACATCCAATGGTAGATGGTGTCAGAAAAGGAAGCCAGCTGAGTTGGAAGAAAATTCTGAAGAAAAGCCATGATGGTATGGGTCGGGGTTTCAGATAGTATAACCGTGCTTTTGACTTCCACTCCAACAGGTTTCAAGTAACAATTAAAGTTAAATAAACTTTCATCAAATTTCTGACTTCAACACTGGGAAGCAGGAGCAAAAACAAGCTGTTAATTTGAACATCAGGCTTGAACAACATTAAAGCCATGCCCTATAAAGTGCACTGCAATATACAGCATGAGCTGTATATTTTACAAATAGCAACTAAAAACAACTGATAGAATATCCTACTGGTTTTCAGGTGTGAAACCCAGCATAAAAATAATTTAGTGACTTGGTGTGGCAGTGCATCAGGAACCACAGATCGTTTCCATTGTAGCTAAGCTTTAAATTAAACCTCTTCATTTCTCAATTCCTCAAACTGATTATCATATCACGTATAAAGTTGAAAAACAAATTGATTTGTCTGCATATAGACTAACTAGGTTAATTATTTTAGTCCAAGTAAAATGCACAGGTGGTGAGCAAAGGCAGCAAGTATCAATCGCATACAGTGCATTTCAGCATAGAAGGGGGATGCACTCAAAATTAATGCTAAAATTAGGCCGATATGCTCATATTTATGACCATAGACCGTCCCTACTTACAGTGCCCTAGTTCTAAAATCTGGTCATTTTTATAACCTGGTTATAAAAATCCTGGTAAGAACCCTGACATGAGTATTTAATTTCTAAATATATAACGCTTAACAGCAGACATGCAGAACCACCCAACAGGCCAGGGAATCTACCAATTTACTTTTATCTGAGGAAAAAAGACCTGAAACATTCTACAATTAACTATTCCTCGAGTGTATCACATCTCTTTATTTCACAATTAACATTTACTTTGATGCACTTGGAATTATAAATAAGAATGATCATTGGGCTTTGATCAAATTTACCCCACTTAACTAGATCTGCTGTTAAGGATTCATTATTATTTTTTTTTTTTTTGTGAAAACATCCATCAGAAAATGCATAATTTCCTTTTTTACTTCTCTCACTTTCTACAGTCTACCCCTCTGCACAACTGCATCAGCCTGCAGCGTCTAAGCTCACCACTTCCTGGAACCAGCTGGATATGTCAGCGCTGCTCAGGATGCAATGGAGGCACAGCAAAGAGACCGGAGGGGTCAAACTTCCTAAAAATGTCTAAAATATCTCAACCAACAATTGTTTTCCTCACCATCGAAACTTGATACATTGTACAAGCTGATCAGGTTGAGACAACATCCTTTATGTTTTCCATATTTGATAAGATGAAACTTTGGTTTGACGTAAATTCACATCTGATCTCTTTGTAAAATTTCTCTCTCACAGAGAGGGCTGAGATGTCTGTGCTGCGTAAGGTTAGCAGAGGAAATAAGTGAAGCGAACAAGGAGGAAGTGCTGACTGTGTTGTGTGGACTCCCTCTGAATATGGTATGTTAGTGTTAATAATTAAAAGTCTTACTCACAGCAGAATCACTTTTTCATGCTGTGAACAGTGAACCCTTATTTTCAACCTCTCCGTTTAAAAGCAATGTTAGAATCCTAACATTTTACAATTTCCTTTTAACACATTGACAATATTTGTGACTCATGAGAGGAACAGATCAATACATGAACATTACAGAAAATATAATATATCAAATGTGCTAAATGGTTTTTTCCCCAATTTTGGAGAATGAAATTCTTAACACAATGAATTATTTCAAAGCCTGTTTCATTTAAATCAATTCCAATGATTACAGATACTTAAAATCCCATATGTAGTGTCTCAGAAAATTAGAACATTGCATACTAAAAACAAAAAAAAATATCTAAGTAGTCAAAAAACCTCCAGAGGTTTCTTGTCTCTAAATGGTCTCTTTGGGTCAGCAGGCTACAAAATCATGGGAAAGACTGCTGGATTGATAGATGTCCAGAAGAAAGTTACTGCCACCCTCCACCAGAAAGATGATAAGCCAGAAAAAGTCAATCTTATAGATGGTGGTTCACCGTTCTGAAGTCCGGCATATCCACCAGAAATTCTGGTCAAGGCTGAACAGCCCAATAGTCCCAAGTCATCTTTTCAGATGTACCGGTAAGTAATGGTTATTTACTTTGGAAGTAAGGGTTCTAGAGTGTGGAGGAAGAATGGAAGGTCAGAATCCATTTGCTGGAAACCATGATGTTTCCACATGCCGGCTGCCATGCCATCTGATGGTTTAATGACCACAGCATTCGTGTAGTGAGTAAACGAGCCTGACCTCGACCTCTTCGAGATCTTTCAATATTGTCAAGCCCCTTTCACACGTTGACGATTTAGCCAGTGCATGCCTGACGTACGAAAAATCAGGCAAAACGCTGGCATACGTTGAATAAGTTATGGGTCAGTTTTGTTTAACCCATTTAGGCCGGGAAAGCATTACCGCATTTCTACCATTCAAGCCGGGGGTGCTGTTGCGTCATTCTACCATTGACGCCGGGAGAGCATATAAGTCAAGCAAGAAGAAAGAAGTTTTTTTTCAAGCAAACATGGAGGAGTTTGACAGAGAAGAGTTGTCGGAAGGCAGTGATTTTGAGGAGTGTGTCGGCTTTGATGACGGTATAGATGAAATGATGACTTTGAACGCGCTGAACCAATCGAACTACCACCGCAATGCACGGAGTGTTTTCAACCGCACACCTGGAGTGAAAGTTGATTTGCCTGCAGACGCCACACCGCTGCAGGCATTTGAGCATATTTTTAATGAAGAACTTTGGATGCATCTAGTTACCGAGACGAATAGGTACAGTGACCAAACAAACCAAACTCCAACAAGAGCAAAGATGGCAAAGTGGTCACCCGTGACTGTGACGGAGATGAAGACATTTATTGGGCTGTGTATGTAAACCTCTCTTCAGGACGCAGTTCCCCCAAAATATGTCCCGGGACAGATTTGTGGCCATCTGGAGGTAGGTTGTATGCAATTTATAACACAGACATATGCATTATTATGCATAATAATACTGTTAATAAGTAATCATCAGATAGTTATTTATGTAATGTTTGTTCTTTATTTTGAAAACGTTTTATATTGCACATTCTCAATGAAGACATGATCACATATGGAAAAAATAAAAGGTTGAATTTTTTTTTTTTTGATTACTGCTTTTCACATTTTTTTTTTGGAAGAATTTCAAAGATAAAATATATTTTGAGTTCTATCTGCTACAGAAGCTGAGATATCAATAATTAAGGCGTTGACACAGTTGCTGAATTTACAGAAAAACTTCAGGTTTTAGGGGTATTTTTTAAAATCGGCCATAGGTTTTTAAGGTGTTTTTTCCAGGCGTTTTAGGCCTAAATGGGTTAAGTTATGAGCACACAGGCACACGTCGACATACAGCAAGTACGACGAGAAATTTTGAGCATGCTCAACATATTTGCCGTATGCCAGTGTATGCTCATACGTGGGTCATAGCTAATTGTAAGTTACCCATACGTCATGGTTTCTAGTTTATCCAAAACCTAGGAGTAACTTGTGCATAACTTATGGGTAACTGTCTGTACCCTCCAGACTTGACCCCCATCATAGGTTGAATGAGATATGAGTGTGATGGATCCTCCCTGCGTTCACGCCCACGACAAACAAACTTCCTAGGAGACATGACGCTGAATCTTTCCTCCTTTCCTTCCTCCCTTTCAACAGGTGGTAAACAGCAGCTAGGTTAATACTGCGATTAAAGAAATGTTTTCATGTAGGCCGGATGCCTCCAGGCGTTGCTGGGAGTTCTGGACTTGTTATGAATACTCTACTTATATCCCCCAAATTGAAAAAAATGCATAGAAAGTTCAGAGCATGCCAGCATTTTAGAAGATTATGGGACATAGGGCATACACCTTGGCTAAATAGTTAAGGTGTGACGAGGCTTAAGGACAAAAAACAAAAAAGAAACATTAGAGCCTATCAAACACTATCAAAGCAACCTGGACTTCCATCACGCCTCACCAGAGCGACAAGCTGATCAAGTTAATGTCACACTTATTGATGCAGGAAGTCCAGGAAAAGTATTGAGTACATAGAATGGGCATACTTTTCAGAAGGCTGCCATCTGTTTAGAGTATTCAGATGACAGTATCTTATTTTATCTGAGCAATCCATCAAAATACTTCAAAATAGCCGAGTCCCGATGCAACTTTTTCATTTCCAATGCAATACCAACCTTGCAGCTTTGAGAATTGGCTAATACAGATACTGACCTGATATATTGGCACAAATTCTACCAGCTAGTTATTTTACAGTGTAGAACACTAGAAAAGAATTGATTGAGTAATATTACAAAAAGGGGGAACACGAGTCAACAACAAAAAAGTAAGAAAACAACTGAGTCATGTAAAATTAACCAATGAGTTACAGAAGCCTTTAGCATTTCCATTAACATGAAAATAGCGGAGATTTTAGAAGCTGCAGATAAAATCCAATATCAGTATTTTGGCTAATACCATGCTTGTAATCCAATATTAATATTGGATCGGGACATCCCTTCTTCAAAATCACTTCATTTACTATAATATTTAGTAAACACAGATTTTTTTCCAGTTAGTTATTCTATGTTCTGACCTCAAAGTGGATTTCAGAGACATCAAATGAGAACTGATGACTGTAGCTAACTGGCTATCCATGCATAACATCTTAGTAGAAAGAGGTTACTTCAGTTTGTTTAATGGCTTTATAACCCCTCCCAAGTAACTAGCACCTGCAGTTAGTAAAACCGAGAACTAAGGTAATTTCAGAGGTTTTTCCCCAAACTGGCAATAGAATTAACACCTGATTATTTCTTTATAATGCAGAGGGAACGCAGCATTCTGAGGCATCGTACACACTCAGGACACCAGGTGTTTAAGCTGAGGTCTCACACTAATGGAGTTAGGGACAGTTTTTTTTGTTTTGTTTTGTTTTTTTAAAAGAGTATTTAGCCATGTGAAACACACAAAAGCAAACATATTTTTTTATTTCATTAGTTGTTTTTTTAACCTGTAGATAGTTTTTGCTACAGGATTTCTCTCTCTACTTTTTAGGTCAGTGTGCCAACTCTATTGTAATACTTCATACTAGGTCTGGGCAGAATCTGTATTTGCAATACAATCTTAATTTAACTCAACGCGTCAAAGAGCAGAGGACTTCAGTTTTTGTCGCATTACATTTAACGTTCAATAAGGTTTCCCACCAGACAATGGAAGACAGCGTTGTAGCTAGCATGTAGATCTATGCTTAACAGTAGAAGGTAGCATTTTCACAAAAAAGTAACAGCAAAGTCCTTCCACAACAGCTTCTGAATAAGTAAGGAATCAAGATCATGAAAACAATGAAACTCTGGAGTGAAACATCGAAATGCAGATGTTTAGTGCAGTGGGAAATCAAACTAAAATTGTAATTAAAATATTGGTTAAACAAAAAAATCTCAATTTAGATTTTTGGCAGTATTTTTCAGCCCTACTCCACACTTTTGTTGGTACAATGACCTTAAAGACGTGTCTTATCTTATCTTATATTGATAAGTAACTCAAAACTGCATAGTCAAAGCTGTGTGACAATTTAGCAGCATGGATTGAGATTATCCTTTTAGTTAGACCTCTGACTCAAAGCTCTGCTGCACCTTAAACACATTTATCCTGGTTTCTCTTCAGGATTTTTACCAAGGATCGTTCTTCAGTGGGCTGATACCCACCTGTGTCACAGCCACTGTCTTCTTCATTCATACAATATCCACCTTTGTATTTAAATGCATAGTTGCTGTGTTTATGTATGCATTTTCCCGCTTTCAGCTGGAATTTCTTTTCAAGCAGCTTCTCAGTGCCGTGAAGTGAGAATGTAAATTTATTTCATACTGACAGGTTCTTAAAATGGCAGCAACCAGCTTAATCTATTTGTGTTAAGAAAACAACAAAAACAAAAAACAGAAGGGCCTAAAATTGAAACTTCCTCTTCTCTTTGGTTGCCTTTGTGGCGTTCTGTCTGCAAGATTATGGTCATGGCAGCTGAGAAAAAGAACAATCTCACTGAGGAACCATGTAACAAGATGAGGATGTATCAGAGCACGTTGTACCAATTCAGACAAATTACATTAAAGGTCAGAATCCATGCAATATCAGAGAAACAGTTCATTTCCCCTCACAGTTGTTCTAACCTACATAGACAAGGATGCATCTAACTAAAGAAACTTCAAATGGTTGCAGCATCTATTATACACTGATTCTTTATAAATCAAAAATGCAATTGACTTGCACTTTTTTAATAAAAAAAATACACTAATGAGTAAATGGTTGACGCCACACTAAATAGTGGCTCTAACAATGTATACATTACAAAAAAATAAGCTTCTAAATCAATCAGACTGGAGAAAAAGAGTTAATCCACAGCTTTTGTCCCTCTATAGTATAAATGTGATGCGACACAGTCAGCTTTTTCTTTTTGGAACTCCGCGAGAGAAGATCACAGCGAGAAGATCACTGCAATTAATTTTGTCAAAATGAAAAGTCTCCAAAGCTTACACAACTAAAGCACAAAACCGGATCTCAAAATCAGATAGTCTTCATCACAACAAGGCCAGCTAATTTGCAATATTTGTTGATTGGTTCAACAATAACATTAACATTTTAATCATACCAGGTTATGCAAAACCATTGTGGAAAACATGGAAAAGCTGCTAAAATCTAACAGCCCAAACTTTGTAAGAAAGGATATTGCCGAGCCGTCCTACAGTAATGTAACACAGCGCCATGATGATAACTTTCTCCCTGAAACCTTTTATCCACATCTTTACAACAGATGCAAACAAATGTGGTATCATAGAAACCTATATAAATTATATCATCAAAAAACACTCCTTAAAGGGCTTGAATGATAGCAAAAGGTCAACTTAAAAGTAACCCTTCACACTACCTACCTGGATTATTGAGATAGATGAGGACATCTCCAGGATGTCATTAGCTAAGACCACCTTCAGTCATC